ATGTATGTATGTATGTATGTAGGTATGTATGTATGTATGTATGTGTGTGTGTGTCTGTATGCATGTATGTATGTATGTATGTATGTATGTATGTATGTATGTATGCATGTATGTATGTATGTATGTATGTATGTATGTATGTATGTATGCATATATGTGTGCATGCTTGTATGCATGTATGTATGCATGTATGTATGTATGTATGTATGTATGTATGTATGTATATATGTATGCATGTATGCATGTATGTATGTATATATATATGTATGTATGCATGCATGCATGTATGCATGCATGTATGTATGTACGTATGTATGTATGTATGCATGCATGCATGCATGCATGTATGTATGCATGCATGTATGTGTGTATACATGTATGTATGTATGTATGTATGCATGTATGTAGGTATGTATATATTGTGTATTGTATTGTATTGTAATGTATTGTATTGTAGTGTATTGTATTGTATGATTGTATAGGTGTGTGTGTATGTATGTATGTATGTATGTATGTATGTATGTATGTATGTATGTATGTATGTATGTATGTATGTATGTATGTATGTAATGTATGTATGTATGTATGTATGTATGTATGTATGTATGTATGTATGTAGGTATGGATGGATGGATGGATGGATGTATGTATGTATGAACGTACGGTATGTATGTTTTTGTGTATATACACATATCGGTATCCACATGTATATAGTATGTTCGTACGCACGTATGTAGTATATGTGTGTGTGTAGTGGCTTTCGGCCCATCCCGCCACCGTGTTTGGGTTGGTGGTCGAAGGCCTCTTGGATGCTTGTGAGGATCTGTTGGAAAACCTGTCGGACGCCCCCTGGCAAATTTTTGGGTTGCTTTGGGCCGTCTCGACCAAAACCGATGGACTGTGGCTATTTTGGCTTCTCGGGCCGCCCTCGGGGGCCTCCAAGTAGGACGTGCGTGTACCGAGGAATGCGCTCTTTGCTTCTGGAAGAGTCACGAGGGGACCCCCCAGGGACGCCCAAGAGCGCCCAGGAGCGCTCAGAATTCCAGGCTGTGGGCCTTTGACCTTTTTTGCTTTACTGAAAGCATGCAGCCGCAGAGAATTGAGGACACTCCAACTACGGTCAAGCAGCCACAGGTAGCGTGCACAACCCCCCATCGAGAGGCAAAACATTACTCAAACGTGTGCACGCTGTGCGCCGACTCCCCAGAGCAAGTCAATTGTGATAGAATGCCAAAGAGTCGGACGCCGTGCGTGCATTCTATACGTTGTCCACGTCTCAAGCGATCCTGCACGCTATAAGTGTTTCCACCGGACCCTCACGCTGCACGCTATACAAGTACTTTTCGGCTCATCTCTCCACTCCGTCCCCTACCCCCCTCTTCCGAGCAACATGCTCGTATGGCGCCCCTCGGGGGGTGTTCGTATGCTCGAGGAGGGGGAGGGGGAAGAGGAGGGGGGAGGGGAGGAGGAAGGGGAGGAGGAGGAGGGGGAGGAGGAAAGGGAAGATGAGGCGGAGAAGGAAGAGGAGGAGTAGGAGAAGGAGGAGGAGGCAGAAGTGACTCGGGCCTGCGGAGGCCGAAAGGCTAAGTGTGGTTCCAGGGACTGCTGAGCCAGATCGGCATTCTGAAAACACAGGTGCACGATATGCTCTGTTTGACTGGCACTCTAAACGTTTTTTTGAGCCTCTTCGGGCATACGCGCTAAACGCCCATAGAAACGCGTATAGACTGCACACGTTTTCTGACGTGCATTGAATACGACCCCCGTTTAGAATGCACTTCAAAATCCCCTATCTGCACTCTATCTGTGGCTACTTGACCGTAGTGCCTCAGGGCACGATGCCATATGCATGTAATGTAATGAGACGTATCGATATGTAGATCGATCTCTTTAAACCGTCAGTATGTAGATTGATATACATGGACGGCATTGGCACATGCGTGACATACGTACGTACGTACGTACGTACATACACACATACATACATCCATCCATACATACATACATACATACATACATACACACATTCATACATACATACATATATATACATACATATATAGATACATACACACATACATACATACATACATACATACACACATACGCACGTACGTACGTACATACATACATACATCCACACACATATATATATATATATATATATATATATATATATGTAGATATACATACATACACATACACACCACATACACATACACACATACACACATGCATACATACATGCATACACCCATTCATACATACATACATACATACATACATACATACATACATACATACATACATACATACATACATACACGCATACGCACACATACATACATACAAACATACCTACATACCTGCATACCTACATACGTACCTACATAATTACACACCTACATACCTACATACCTACATACCTGCATACCTACATACACATACATACATATATCCATCCATCCATCCATCCATCCATCCATCCATCCATCCATACATACATACAAGCATACATACATACTTTCATACATACATAATTAGATGTACACGCATATGTACACGTGTTTATATGTAAATTCGTAAGGAAACCTGTGCAGGCATAGCCATGGGGGTATATGCAACACCATTTGGATGTCCAGACGTGTGCCCACTCGTGGAATTAATCGTGCGTCCATCGAATCGAAGATAATGTCACCCCGCCATCCTCGGTATCACCTGGCTGGTGGATTATGACACATTTTCCACGAGCGCCAGGCGTGTCTCAAGTTAACCATCTGTTTCGGGAAGCTGACGGAGGCGGCAAAGGCCTGATAACAGCTCGGCAGGAACGTCGGGGTTGACCCACGACACGGAGGCGTCTGAACACAGCTGCAGCTTACACGGAGCAGGCCCAATCATTAATATTACCAGATTTTTCTGGCGGCTGGCAGTCAAGACGTAAAAGGCGGGGAGCCCGGGGCGGCGCGCGCCTAAGGGTGCTGATTGTCAGGGGGCAATCGGGAGCGATCCACGACAAGAGGCATGTATCGCGTCCGCCTCCTCTCTGATCCCCTCGTTCCGCAGACTTGCTGGTGTGTGAAATGCCAGCGTCGGTGGCGGCTGTCGCGTCACTAGTTGCGAACACGCACTGTGCGTTCTCCTGGCTCTGCTTTTTCCTCTCGGCTTGAGGGCTCTCGCCCACTTTCCGACGTGCGGCCAGCCAGCCCTCGATTTGCTCTCGTCTCTCCTCTCCGCCCTTCCGTCCGTCCTGAGCGCTTCGCCGCTGTTGTCACATCTCGCCTGGCGTTTTCGGCTTTTCCGGCGGTGTTCCACCTCAAGTTGCGGTGGCAGTAGTGCAGCGCTTGCCTTGGATGAGGAGCAATTCCTCACCTTTTCCCCGTTCGTCGGGCTCCAGCTCCTGCTCGTGCTGCTGCTGCTGCTTCTCCGACTCCTTCTCCCTCCCTCCACCTCTTCCTCCTCTGCCTTCCCCATCAGTCGAGAGACGAGAAAGAGATGACGGGGTGGGGTGGGGTGGGGTGGGATGGGAGGGTGGGAAAGAGAGAGAGAGAGAGCGAGAGCGAGAGAGAGAGAGAGAAAGAGAGAGAGAGAGAGAAGCAAACAGAAAGAGAGAGAGAGAGAGGATAAGTGATAAAGATGCGAGGTCACACGTAGCTGTAATATGGATGTTTTCGCATACGCCAGCACTGCAACTTTGTAGCGCTGCGGTTTGAGCGCGCGTTTGCCTCATTGTATGTTCATGTTGTAGGTGTGCTTAAGAGGACGAACGGTGGATGATGATCGTGATGGTGGCAGTGATGATAACAAGTGTATCCAGTCCGCCTGCAGTGTAATTAGTTGTAGGGCTGCCGCCCTCACATTTCCTGCTCCTTCCTCCTTCTCTCTTTTTCCTCACTCCTCCCTCGCCCCTCCTTCCTCTTCCGTTCTCCCCCCTGCCTCCACCCCCCTTTGTCCCTGAGCAGGCCCTGCGCCTGCAGTGCTTCTTCCGTCGTCGTGATCGTCTTCCTCCCTTCCTTCCATCTTCTCCTTCCCTCTCCTGCGACCCTGCTCCGCCCTCGTTCGTCCTCCGCCCCCCAACCTGGCGTCCTCCGTTCTCCATTCTCTGTTCCCCACCGTTCGTCCCCCGCTCTTCTCCCTCCTGCTTCCTCCGCCGTCCTTCTTCGGTCCTCCGCCCGGACGCGATTGGGTCGGCGGGGGGGGCGGGGTCAGCAGGTTGGGGCCTTCGACGGGCCTGGTCCAGTCAGAATTGCACATGCGAGTTTTCGGGTAGGGGGGACGGTGAAGGTAGGATAAGGAAGAGGAGTATGAGGACGAGATGGAATATAAGGACATGCTCTTTCTTCGTTTTGTGTGCACCATGAGTAAGTAGAAAGAGGGGGGCCAGAGACTGGGAGAAGGAGGAGGAGGAGGTTGATAATAAGATATTTTTACATCATATATGTATGTATGTATGTATGTATGTATGTATGTATGTATGTATGTATGTATGTATGTATGTATGTATGTATGTATGTATGTATGTATGTATGTATGTATGTATGTATGTATGTATGTATGAATGTATGCATGTATGTATGCATGTATGCGTGTATGTATGTATGTATGTATGTATGTATGTATGTATGTATGTATGTATGTATGCATGCATGTATGCATGCATGCATGCATGCATGCATGCATGCATGTATGTAGGTATGTATGTATATATATGCATGTATGTATGTATATGTATATGCATATGTATATACACATATCTATATATCTATCTATCTATATATTCGATGTTTCGGTAGCGGGAAGTATGACGAACAGGAGGACGGACAGAGGAGGAGCAGGAGGAAGAAGCGGAGGACACATGAGGATGAGAAGGAAGAGGATGAGCACGGGTGACTGACTCGGAGGAGGCGGATGAGGCAGTTGGTCAGATAGAAAAAGGGTTAAGGAGGATAGTATTGCCGAGAGGGATGAGGCGGGATGCGGGAGGATTGGAGGATGGGGGGAGGACTACATGTACGAATTCGGGGACAAGTACGGCAACAACAAGTTCAAGTACAACCAGGCGTGCGCGGCTCCGCAGCAACCTTGCGGCGAGCTCCAGGCAGAAGCAGAAACGCTATGGTGAGCAGGTGCAAGTCTGGGGAGGATGGCGAGGAGGTGGAAGATTAATCAGGTACACTCGCACCATACATGACATACTATCCATTCCGCCCATCCCTTCCATCGCGCCGAATTCATTTCCATCCGCCGACTGGTGTGTCCTAGGGGACCTTGATTCCCTAAGTAACTCATCGTATGATGCGCAATCGGGAGGGGGGGCCTTCGTACACAGGAGGAGGTGAAGGAGAATGAGGTGGCGGATGATCAGGATATGTAGGGAGAGGAGGGGGAACACCAGCAGCAGCATGAGCAGGAGGACCAGAAAAAGCAGGAGCAGGACACCTGGGGAAGGCGGACGATGGAAAAAGGAGGAGGACGGCAACGACGAGGAATGACTCGGATCCATAACTGTGACCCGCGTTGGCGCGATAGTGTCATTCTGCGGTCTGAGCGACGGAAGCAAATCACCGATCCTGAATTGCTGACCAACGCTGCAGCGGGAACAGTATTCGGATGGAGCGATCACGATTTTGTTTGTAGAACGCATGTTTGTACCACATGCTAAAACCATGTGTGTGAGCAGCACGACGCGAGAGAGGCGTTAGCAACACTATACATGATCATGGAAGGGAGGAGAGTCCTATTCACACTGAGGACAGATGGAAGACAGCGCGTACTTAGTGATGTGGGCGAAGAAAGCGATGAGGGCGGAAGAGGAAGCGGATGATACGAGGTGGTGGGGCGCGAATTTGGACGATGGTTATGAAGGATGTCGATGCTACCCAACGCGAATAGCAATATGATAGTGTTTATGTAGACGCCGGTGATGTAAATGCTGCTGCTGATGATGATGAGAAAGAGGAGAGGGTGGATCAACAGCGTGATGATGAGGGTGAGGAACGGGTGTTGGAGCAATCGGAGGGGTCATGATGTTTATGATGAGGGAGTTGGTACGCTGCGCACTACGACACGGGTTTTGGCTGACGTCTGAGGACGAGGGACGTACGATGCAACGAAGGATGGGTGGAAACAGGGAGGAATACGAAAAGTCGGAGCCGCACACTGATCAGGAGTCACGAGGACGGTCATGGTCATAAGGAGGGGAAAGGGCGATGACGAGGAGCAGGAGGAGGAGGAGGGATAGTGTAATGAAGAGGAGGGTGGTGATGAGGAGCAGTGCGCGCAGGGGAGAGGACAAGGAGGGAGGACGAGGAGGAGGAGGAAGAGGAGGATGAGGAGGATATCAGGTTTCGTGCGCAGTTTTCGTGCGGAAGAGGAGGAGCGCAATTCTCGTGCGCTTGTTACTGGTAGAATGAGGCGTGAGCGTGAGCTCAGCGCGTTGAGCGAATTGTTATTTTCGTTGCAATCAGTGGGGTGGGGATCACCAACCAGGACGCGGCCATGGACGGAGTCGCGTTGAAGGCGTATGGGGGGCTTGTGCTAGTGACCTCTCCTTGACTCCACGGTCTGCGTTGGACCCCCAGACCCCCTGGTGCGTTTTGTGCCACCTCGTGGAGCCGAGGGTGGCGCCGCGCACATTCATTCTAAACATGTCCGGTAACTATACAGATGGAGGGCGGTGCCTTTACCAAGGGGGTTTTTCCATGTTCGACAACTGCGCGGACGGACTGCGTTTCCTGTTCAATTTGGGGCTCCCGCTTGAGATCCCCTTCAATTCCTGTGGCCCGAAGTCCCAGGGCGTCCAGCAGTTGCACGGATGGAGGGCAGGTCGTCGGCATCCAGAGGGCTGGAAGTGCGCAGCGCTTGCACGCATGGAGGGCAGACCCTTCGCTAGCCGGGGCAGTTTCTGGAACACTTTTCTTTATCCCATGTGATCGTACAGGCCATCTTTCTGGATCACTTTTCTGATCCCAGGTAGTCTCGCAGATTCAGATCCCAATTTGCTTCAAACGCCTTTCTACTTCAAGAATCCAAATGTTACCATTGTCAGTCTTATTATTCTATTGTTGTTGCTGTTGCTGTTGAAACCTCATTGCTGAAGAGTTGTTGTTGATCCCCACCCTCCGGTGACATACGTGGTTTCTTAGTTAAAGTGCCCCTCCCCGGGCTCGCACCCTCCACGCCATACGCTCTCTCCTGAGATTTTCTCGTGACTTACTAAGGAATCGCGCTCTCGCCCGAGACTTCCTGGCGACGTATGCAGGACTCAGGCATTCGCGTAACAGACGTGTTTTTTCAATTGAAGTGCCCCTCCCGGGGCTCGCTGTGTGTTTCCTTAGCGGGGAAAGTCTTCCTGCTCAAACTGTGCTCTGGCCCCTGGTTTACAACAACAGCAGCTCCCGCTTGACATTTCCCCACAATTTATTCCCAAATCGCGCTCTCGCGAGGGGCTTCCTCATAATTCAATGCAGGAATCACGCTTTCGCGTGGGACACCCTTGCA